TCTAATTAAGTAAGCCTAAGTTGACGCCTATATTCTATCAAAACAAAGATTTAGATTTTCAAAGCGGTAAAGTTTAACACAATATTGGGTTGATTAGGGGCCTATAGGCCTAGGTTGTTAACCTATTATTAATATTTCCAAATAATCACGCTTGAAAGGTAGAAAAAACAGCATTCTAAAAAAAATTAAATTGATATAATTACATGATTTACATATAAACAATGTTAATAGCATTTCCCCTCTTAATATTTGGCCTTTTTGAGAAAATATGCCCTATTTGTTGGCCATATGGAGTAATAGGGACACTCACGAAATTATTATAGAAGAATCAATGTAGTTTGTTTAAATAACTACTCTACCCTAGAACTATTGATTCAGAAATTAACATTCAAATGAATGCCTGTTTTTGAATGACTGTAGGAAACAAATCAAATACGAAAAAAATAAAGAATAAGTTAAACAAAGAGAAAAATATGCATATAGGTAGAAGAAGAAATGAAACATTTTCGTGGGGTGTTTCTAGTTCTTCTTAGTTTCATGTAGACATTGCACAATCCATATACACAGATAAGGCAACAAGGAAATTATATATAGTGCATTCGATACATGATGTTGTGTGTAGAGATGTGTTACAGTTTTGTTGTCTAATAACATGTAAAAAAGTAACGGGAAGTATTGTTTATTGTTGTTACTATGCCAGTCAGTGCGAAGCATCTTAGTCCTATAAACAAAACCTTTTTTTCTTCTTCTGCTGAGCAGTTTACTTGTTGAGTGTTGGGGCATAGGTTGGGGAGAGTAGGGGGGTGGTTTACGATTCGTGTGAGCATACTCCGATTTTAGGAAAACGTTGAGGGGGTGGGAGAGAGAATCTATGTCAGAGTGCCAGAAGGAGGGCACCTTGTGTTTCTTTGTTCCTGGCATCTCTCTCTGTCTCTCTCTCTCTCTCTCTCTCCGTCTCTCTCTTTTCCAGCTCAACAGATGACATCAGCTCCGAGTTAGTAGGCTAAAATATGCCACGTTCTACATCACTCGCAGTGCTCCTAGTGAATCTCTAGGCTATCGTCTGCTCATGTAGGCTTTTCTTCACTCGCTGGTCCCACAAGATCTGGAGTGCTTCCCCCTGGTCAACCCCCCCCCCCCCCATTCGTTTAGTGTACCCACCCCTCCTGTATCGAATGACAAGTAGACATCAAGTGTGGACGTGCATGATGTCATCGCCATTATCAATGCCCGACTTAGAAAGTGCATGGTGACTATTTAAAGCAGAATACAGAGATCCCTAATGTTCACAACTTCACTATCCCTAAACTAAATTATATATTGGAATGTTGGGGTGGGGGGAGGAGGAATAGGGTACACTTTTTTTAACGCTCTTCCCTAATTGTTTAATTCAAGACTAGTCAATCACTAGGCATAGATTTACCTGCCATTTGACAATGGTTAATAATCATCAGATCATATTTAGCTTCTTTTTTATTATTTTTTTTTATCATAAATCACATAATTCAGAAAGAAGTTTCAATATTGAATCCATAAAAAGATTATTATATTTTAAAAACTATTGGTAATCTTTTAAAATTAAAACAGCATTTTCCCTTCATTAAAAAAAACAACTTTTTCCTATAGTAGCTTACTCAGATTATTGAGAACATCCCATTTCGGTTTATTTTAAAAAAAGATAAATAGTGCTTAGAGGCGGGTATGCAAATCAAATGTTTCAAGCTTAAAATTGTAGGCTATCATTTTAGCTTTTAGTATGTTAATATAATGTTATAGACTTTATTTAAACTATTTCTACATCAAATCAGTAATGTTCACTTTTTAACAAAATAATATATCTAAACATAGAGACTATATTTTGTTTTAAATTTTATCAGTTGTAAACCTATAATAGTATAATGCTTGTTTCGTCTTTGATCAAAAGCTCATAATACAATATTTTCTAGCCAGAGCTAATTCATCATGCCCTTGTGATGAACTGGATTGTTAACTGGCAAGCTAGAAGAGCTATTGGCTTTCTTCAGTGAATGCCTGGGCATTAGCTGTGGTTGGAACGATGTCGCCCACACATCAGTTCCCCCCTCTCAAAGCAGCTGATGCATCCAAAGGAACGGCAAGTGCCGATACAGTTTGGGGTCAGCCGCGTCGAGGTTCTGCCAGAGTGTAGCACTGGATGCTGCAAACTGCCTTAGGGTCGCCAGCTCCTGATTTTTCCCCAGGGTTGACTCCCGAAGACTTTCCAATGATGAATAATTCCCCATGACTGGCAAGCTATAAGAGCTAATCACTCTTGAAATAACGTAAAAATGACAGTAATAGCTTAATACTAATATCAAAATAATAAAACCCAGATAATCCCTTTTGTCTAAAGTAATTACACTTAAAGGCATGATTTCTCAACTCATTAGCAATGACTATTAGACAATGCAGTTTACAATTGAAAGCAATCATCGTGAAAACCCTTGTCAAATAGAGAATTACTGCGTGAAAAAAACCAACAACAACTAAGAATTCGCTACATAGTGAGGTACATAGTGAGGTACATAGTGAGATACATAGTGAGGTACATAGAGAGATACATAGTGAGGCACATAGTGAGATACATAGTGAGCTACATAGTGAGGTACATAGTGAGATACATAGTGAGGTACATAGAGAGATACATAGTGAGGCACATAGTGAGATACATAGTGAGCTACATAGTGAGGTACATAGTGAGATACATAGTGAGGTACATAGTGAGCTACATAGTGAGATACATAGTGAGATACATAGTGAGGTACATAGTGAGATAAATAGTGAGATACATAGTGAGCTACATAGTGAGGTACATAGTGAGATACATTGTGAGGTACATAGTGAGCTACATAGTGAGATATATAGTGAGCTACATAGTGAGGTACATAGTGAGATACATAGTGAGGTACATAGTGAGATACATAGTGAGGTACATAGTGAAATACATAGTGAGCTACATAGTGAGATACATAGTGAGATACATAGTGAGATACATAGTGAGCTATATCAGAACGTGCTTCTTGTAAAATTTGAAATTCCAAATCAATTAAAATTAAAAATAAAAATTTGAGAATTTTGTTTAAGTCACTTAAATACTCTAATGAAACTTAAACAATTACGAAGCTGCACTTCGATCACTCTTAGGAAACTGTAAAGCATCGCCTATTAAAATACCTCAACTTACTGCCCTTTAGACCAGGGGTTCTCAACCTGTGGGTCGCGACCCTTTTGGGGGTCGATTGACGATTTGCCAGGGGTCGCCTAAGACCATCGAAAAAATATATTGTTTTTGTCCATTCTTCTATTGCTGTGTGTGTGTGCGGGGGGCGGGGTCGCGGCAGAGTGGGGGATTGCAAAAAGGGGTCGCTGAGACTAAAAGGTTGAGAACCGCTGCTTTAGACAGACCCTAGTGCTGAAAACAACTCTGTATTACCAACACTTTGAATAGCAGTATGGATGAGCTGAGAAGAACAGTCAGCTACTATTTTTTCCATAGCACTGACTAAAAAAGAGTTGACACCTCAACAGCAAAACTCTGTCTAAAAGAAATCAAGAAATCGAAGTATATTTTCCTCTTATAGCCAGCTTTTTGCTGCTAAGCTGTAAGATTTTTAGCAGTAGTTAATGAATATTCGTAGAGGCCAAGGCTCCATTGTGAAGTTGACCGTTCTAAGTAGGTCTATCATTTAAAATGCTAGTGGAAGTGGATGTTTCTCTTAATAGTATATACTACTTTTGTAAAAGACATCGCGACTTGAGTTTGATGAAATTGATTTATTTAGTATAAAGGCCTCACTAGGGTTGGTGTCACCCTGTGTGGTCCGCACCCCTCGCAAACCCTAGCGTCGCCATTGAATTTTGTATAAATTGCATTTTTGTAAAACTTAAATTCAGTTTATTGTTTCCAGGTGACGTTTAAATCTGAATCTGAAGAATGGCCTCGACCCTGGACCCTTTGTACCAACATAACCAGCTGTTCAACTGGATGTATTTGACGTTAGCTGACCAGCAGGCTGGACATATCAGTCCCAGCATCTACGGTAACGGTGGCTCTACTGCCAACACAGACCTGTGGTTCGAGGAGCATTACCGACAGAAGTCTACACTTGACTCGCATGGGACTTCCAGGAACCACTCTCTGACGTCGTGCAGTGGGAGTTACCTAAACAACAACAACTTGCAATCATTGACCAATGGAAATATTCCTTCCATAGCAGCTAACGGCCTAGCCAATGTCAAACTCCAAGCCATAACGGGTGGAGCTTTTGCCAACGGAGGCACCCAATCACTGCATTCTCTCAACAGCAGGAACGCCCAGTCGCCTTTGACAAGCATGGTCAATGTTAACAACCTCCTCAAAGCCAACGGCTTGTCTAATGTAAATGGTTACAATGATTCCTGGTCAAGTCAACATCACGAATACAGCAGCATTGCATCAGTAAGTATCTTAGACAACTTTCAAGAAGCCTGGCCTATATATTTAACTCTATCCCCTTTGCAGCATGGACAATTAATAATTCTCATGAACATACCCCAGTCCATTGCAGAGTTCCTTAAGTAACAAGATTTATAACAGCATATGTAAATACATAATAGACCACTATGTCTATGCAGTGCCTTAACTAGATATTGAGGTAAAAATTTCTTAATCGACGGATCAATGTTTTAAAGAAGTATGTTTACCGTAAGATTACTGCCATCTAGCGACTATTGTATTCAATCGCTATGTAAGGAATGTCTTTTAGCCATTCATCCGTCTTCTCAGGAGTTTATCTGTTTTGCAATGTTTATTATAAAATAACCGACAATGGAGGCCCCAATTTTAATGAGAAAATTCTGTTTGAACTCTAAATGAAAAAAACAAACAACTATTATTATAAGCTAAGAATACTTTTATGATCGCACATTTCAACAGAAACAGAATATAATAACAAAGGTTTTGGATTAACCAAATTTTTTCAAAAGTATATAAAAATTGGCAGCGTTGTCGACTGGATTTGAACCTATGCGGGAATGTCCCAATGGATTTCTAGTCCATCGCCTTAACCTCTCGGACACGACAACCCTGTTTATAGAACTGTGGTCAATATATTATGAGCGTGTCAGTAAATGGCAAAGCAAACAAACTGTCTCGACTTCTTCTTTGTCTGTTCTTCAAAATTAAACACTTAAATAAAGTAAACTTCCTTCCACCTCCAAGAGCTCGATGGTAGTCCAGCTACATAAAACAAATGAACAGAACAAAAAATGAACAAAGTCCTAATTCTAACGAATAAGCATCAGATTAAAGATTAGATCAATTAATTAAAGCGCTAAGCCTTTCTTCTGGCTTGAAAAGTTTGTTTCATGGTCCATTAAAACTCACAAGTCAAAATAAAATTACATCGCACGTGGACATTGTCAAACAATCCAAAAAAAAAATAATACAAATTTGGTCACACACACACACATAGACTTGCTGTGTCCCTGATTCAGCTTTGAACTTGAATGTTGATAATACAATATTTTATGTCATATACCAAGCTACGTAAATGTTTACTGCTGAATACTACGTTAAGTATTTATGATAATAATAATAATTTTATTTCTAAAGCGCTGTTAACAAACAAAATGTAGGCTCAAGGCGCTGTAACAACATTACAAACACAAACACGAGAGCTACAATGACAGTTAATCTAAAAATGTTTTAAAAAGTTTTAAACAGATAGGTCTTAATGTTCTTCTTAAAAGTGGTGTAGCATGTTGTCTGTCTGAGATCAATGGGGAGTGAGTATTGAGACTAATCTATTAGTATCTTATTTTATATAATACAGACGTCAAAAAAAAAAAAAGATGATGATTACGTCCTACGCGTCATGCATTTAGTCATGCATATTAACCAATGACCTAAATTCTGCCAAGTCACTGGTTTTCCAGGATTTTAACCTGTGATTAGTAAAGCGTTATTACAACTTAAAGGAATAGAAAACTATTAGAATAGGACTACTAAGAGAGTTGCCCGTATACTTTTATGTATTGGACATTTTCATCTTTGTCTGATAATTATATGTAGCTAGGTTTTTGGTGTATCCGGTGTAGAAAAAAAAATTGAAAAACCTTCTATTTTTAAAAGTATTGGAATAAATAATTGGCTGGCGCGTCGGCCTTGCATCGGATATGCTGAAGACGTCGAGTTCGAATTCAGACTCTGAGCAAATGTTTTTTTAAAGTTTTAAAGGCAAACCAAAGTGATTGAATCTTAGCGCTAAAAGCATGAAAGTTGCACTTAACAAAAACATAAAAATATTTCCAACCGCACAAATTTAAATTGCTATTCTAAATCTATTAAAGATTACAGACATGAATCATTCAAAATAATTGACGCAATTTCACTCAATATAACCCTTTTTTTTTTTTTTAAATTATATCTGTTTTCTTTAGGTCTATGGTGATTTTTCAACATGGCGTCTTTAACATTGTTTAAAATCAGGTAGATCACACACTATCTTCTTATTTGTACTTTCTTACTTTTTTCTTTAGGTTTTCTTAAATCGCCTCCACATCTCACTATATCGCTTTTTTCTTATCTTTCTATGTTACTGTAATTTATTTTATTATTTAATGTACGCTACACTGTATCTTATATATTGAAAATCAAACAAATAGGACAATACCAAAAGTGTCACTAATCATTGATCGTATTTAAACTACTAATGATATTGGCATAATTAAGAGGTCATAGTTCTGATTACATAGTAAAGTAGACGCCCCCCCCCCCCTTCCACCATGTGTAAAGCTAAATCTACTTCTTCTTCTTCCTCGTTCTCATTTTCATGTTGGATGACTAGACTAGCTCAGGATTTGAACCTGTGATTAGTAAAGCGTTATTTCAACTTATGAGATGAACTGCGCAGTGGTTTCCAAATCAGGAAGCTCTTTCTATTGGAATGTTTTGGGGCTAGTGTCTTGTACGGGCCTTTTGGTAAAGACTGCAGTTTTGAAGGACATGGTTAGAATTCTCTGGTGACACTCGACATAGACAGATTTCATTGGTTCCAATTTTGAGCTTCCGGAACATATGTTATTTCATTCTGTTGTGTCCGGTTCTGAGGCGAAAGATTAGAAGATGATCTTGTCGGGATAGCTTACTACTAATGATATTGGCATAATTAAGAGGTAACCAGGATCGTTCTGGTTACATAGTTAAGTGGACGCCCCCATCCCTCCTCCACCTTGTGTAAAGCTAAATCTACAACAGGCCCCAGACTTTTCGATGTGAAGACCCCGAACAAACCGACAATGGAGTCCCCATTATTATTGAAAGAAATAGAGGGTCCTAATTAGAGTTCCACACAACAGCTAAAAGGATTTGGGGGGAAGCTGTAGATTCCCCAAGGACATGTCTATGGGGCTGAGCTTATTTAGACATAGAATATAGAAATAAATTAACCAATTTTTCTTTTTTATACCTTACAGGCGTAATGTTTTCTTGAGTCGAGAAAGGCAATGTGACACGGGACTCTAACTCATGATAACTATCGATAAGGCTAAAGAAAATGTGTGAGTTTTTAAATGAATAGACACGCGAGACACACTTAACGCCTATCTCTAGCCGTGTCAGATAAATAGTTGTAGCAAGCACGTTTTTAGACGACCTCGCGACAAGAAAACTATCGGCAGAGCTTCTCACATTTCTTAATTCTATCAGCCGATAAATAGGGGCTTACTTTTTTTTTACTTTAATCGTTTATGATTAGTGTAAGGGGAAGCGACTTGCTGACAGGGGTAAGGGAAAAAAAACGTGAATTTGCATTGTAGTTATAAATCCATTTATCCAACTGATGTTTGAAAAAAAATAATTATTAACTCTTTCTCTCCAAACTGACGATACCAACTTTGAATTGACCCATTTAGTTAAATTAATTTTTGGTTTTATAAACTTTAATTTTTGCTATATCAAAAGATCATGCTTTCTTATATAATTATATATTTAATATAAAATTTCTAGATTATATAAAAATAAGTTATTAAAGTTTAATCATAACAGGGTAGTGAAACACAAATGAGTAAAATGAATAATTACGAATTAGGAACGTATTAAATAATTACGGAGAGAAAGAGTTAAATTAAGTTAAATTTGTCAACTAAGTAGGATTTTCATACTGTAGTCGCAAGAGGCGCCTGCAACTAGATCGATTAAAAAAAAATACTGAAAGAAATTTCGATACGTCTTCGCTAATGCTATTCCCTCTCAGACACCTAGAAGGGTTGGCAAATATATTTGTTGTTGTTGCTCTGAGAGGAGGAGGCATCTGTAGTCAAAGTTTGAGAAACACTGAGCTCTGTTTAAAACACGAACATTTATTTACGATTTGTTCTGGGATTTCAGCGAATTTAGGCTTGAATTCGTTTTAAAGTGTATTTTGTAGTTTTTTTTTATGTAGGCATTATAATAAGTTCTTTGTCATATTTTTTTTTAATTTGGTACTTTATGGTTCTATAGGCCTATTAAAGTTTTTTTAAATTTTGTACTTAGTGATATTGCAATATATATATATATATAGAGAGAGAGAGAGAGAGAGAGACAGACAGACAGACAGACACTGACAGGATTCAAACCCGAAGGTTGCCCTACGAACAAGGTTTCTTTTGTGCCAAGTATGGTTTACATCTCTCTATCTCTTTCTCTCTCTTTCACACACACACACACTTTCAGCCAGTTGTCTACCTTTAACTTATTCTACCCCCACATTAGCGCTAGATATCATACTATATTGGTGTGCATATAAATTCAAATTAATATTATCAAGATATCTTCTAACCATAAACTAAATTCACGTTTTTTTTTTAATTAAAAAAAATCAACGTGATTTTAAACCCCCTCAACTTCAAATGTTATTGTGACTTTTTTGTAAGCATTATTATAAAAACAGATCTAACATTACACGGCGACGTCCACAAAGTGACTTTCCAACAATAACGTTACACATGCAGTGTGTTGTAGAAAGTCGTCAATTAAAAGTGCAAAAAGAACGATAATAATTGATGTTGTAATTTAAAAAACAAAAACAACGATACATAAAGATAGACATTAACTCATCACTTCTTCTTTTTCATTTCTATTATCCGTATTTCTCTCGTTACAATACTCATTGGGAGGGGTGAGGGAATGGGGGAATTAGGGGGTTTTTTTTTGGGGGGGGGGGGAGGCGGGTGTTACATCATAGGAGAATATTAAAAATATGCTTGTGTGTGTGTGTGTGTGGTAACCTATAAGGATAGTGCACCAATATATCTTATCTTATCTTATATAATACAGACGTTACTTCAAAAAAGAAGATGATTACGTCCTACGCGTCATGCATTTAGTCATGCATATTAACCAATGACTTAAATTCTGCCAAGTCACTGGTTTTCCTGGCTAGCTCAGGCAACCCATTCCATGTTCTAATAGCACTAGGGAAGAAGGAGTAGAAAATTAGCGTAAACTTTCAGAAAATTGAGCCCCTCACATCTACCAGGAGGCATACAATACAGAACTTTGCAATTAATTGGACTTAATTCAATAATACTAATTTTTTGCGCAAGGCTAAGTTTTGAAACAATTGTTTACTGTATAAGTGTACCGGGTACACCATCAGTTCAAGGCGAGGTAACTTTTTGTGTATCCTATTTGAGGCAGGGCTAGAGAACTTTAATTTTATCAATAGCTTTATATTTGCTGATCGAGTGATTTTTTTTTTTAGCATAACATGTTCCAGATGATGGGATGTGTTTTTATTTTGGGCTATAAACACAACAGTTCCTCTACAATCTGGATGACTGCTAGAAGTTATGTTTAGCTCAAGTTCGAAATTGAATGAACGTTATTCATGGTGGCGTTAGTGATAACATATGATATAGGCGACTTCAATGTGTTGCTAAAAGTACTATGTAAAAGAACTATGCGGATTTTATTTTGAAAAAAAAAAAAAAAAAAGAAATACTTGTGTGTTAGAATGGAGAAAGAAGGTTAACCGATCATGTGTGGTGCCCCAACGGTTTAACATCCTAAGGGACAGGTGAAGGCGGAGTTATGTGTTAGT